ATTTCAGCTCATGTTTCATCAGTTTTTTTTTTTAACGTCAAATTCTGCCCGTGCAGCCACTTTTATTTCCCTCTCTGGGCTCCACACACGGAAACAGCTGCTGACTGTGGGCCACTCTTTGAGGAATGTGGAATCCAGTTCGCTACTTCGCACCAGGAAAGAGTAAACACAGGAGGAGCATAAAAGGGCCGGGACTCGTGACAGAACAAACACAGCGGCAGAGTTTTAAAGTCCTGAAGAGGAGAGCGACCTCGCTGACTGCTGCTGAGGTGGTCACTGGGGAACTGCAAGCATTTTTCACCTCTTTGTTCTTTTTTTTTCTCCTCCCCTCCTCTCCCTGAAAGGATGTTGTGTTGTAAATAACACTGTAGCATTCATTCACACTGGAGGGCCATTGTGAGTCCTGTGAATGGGTCGTATTATGAGAAGTGAAATAAATATAAGGCCAGGAAGAATGGCCGACGAGTCTTTTTCCTCTTCCTCTAATCCCTTCTCCAATAGTCAAAAGGTTTTACATTTACATGCTGTGAGACAGCATTTGAATGCCTGCAGTTAAAACCAAGAGACCACCACTCATGTGAAAGAAGAAAAAAAGTTTTTATTGACATTACAAGCAGAATCGTCTGATAATTTGTGACCCATCACATTGCAATGAGGATTAAGTCAAATTTGGTCGAAATGACCTCATCATATTTTCAGATTCCTGGCTTTAAAATTTACATTTTGATACTGAGATCATCCTGATATCATTAGTCGATCCAGAGATATTATTTAATTTGTCTTGTTGGTTACAATAACACGTCCTGATGCATCTCAATAATCCAGGTAAAAAATCAAAAGGAAAAAAAATTGTATAGGTCCTCTGGACGGGTTCTTCTTTAATGAAACGTTACAATAACACATAAAATTTTGGTCTAAACCCTAATTTTATGTCATTTTAATAAGTATTTTTTATGTCATTTTTAAAAAAAAATCTCAAATTCTATATGAATATTGAGATTTCCCAGCTGGAAAGAAACAAAAACTTTGACATCTTACAGGGAAAATCTCAACATTTTAAAGGGTTTTTCCTCAAAATCGGGTTTTATGTTGCTAATGCTAAAAAAATGCTTCAAAAATATTTTTTGGGATAATATTTCAGACAGTGCATTGAAATGATGCATTGATAACACATATTTTGACAAAATGTAATTTTTGCAAGCGTTTTAATCAAAACACTACATCTGACTGTATAGAATAACATAGTGTAGTGTAGTGTAGTATAGTATAATGTAGTGTAGTGTAGTATAACGAAGTGTAGTGTAACGTAGTGTAGTATAGCATAACAGTGTAGTGTAGTA